ATAGGATGTTTTGGATGCCAGAAATATTTTTTAAAAGGGAGGGATGCTAAAAATGGGTCTGGGTGGATTCTAGATGAAAAAAAATGTCTGCAGTGGCCCACATGCGAATCATGTAGGCCATCACAAACATTTCGGATTCAGAAATCATTAAATACCTGTCATGAAATCCACAGCTATTAGGAAGCTTATACCAAGGGAAAAAATTCTGTTGGTTTGCTTCTCCCTGTTTGTATTGTTAAGAATGCATTTCTGCCAGGGGCCAGGACCCTGAACTTTGATCTGCTGTTCTGACCCAATACGACCATTAATTCTGTTGTTCTCTGACTACCTGCATGCAGCAGCCACTGAACTCTGTCTCGGCATTTGACTTCCAAAAGCAGCCTTAGATAATGTGGGCAAGTTAGCTGCTACAGAAGTATGGCTTTTATTCCTGTGTTTTTCCCATTTGAGCAGTTTCTTCAACATCTGAGCCTATAGGTTTCATACAGGATAAAACTAAACATGCACGGAACGGGTTAAAGGAAGGGGGGGTGCGAAGAGGAGCAGAGCAAGGGGTCTGGCTGCAGAAAGCAGTTGCTCTCTGAGGTGCTGCCGGACTGGGAGGAGGGACAGGGCTGGAGGGCAGGGGGAGGGAGGATGTCTTCGGTAAGGCTGCATCCATCCTTTCCTCTCCTCTTCTCCCTTCAGCAGCAGCTGCACCCCCCTCTCCTTGCGCTGCCTTGGTTGCAGCGGTCACTGCTGAGCTCTTTAGGGTGCTGTGAGCAGACACGGATGAGAGCGCTTGGTGGTTTGGCAGTGCTTGTTGCTACAGCAGCTGTTCCCCATCTGTGGGGAAGGGGTGGTGGCTACAAGCTGCCAGCTGGACTGTGCTGTCATAGAGACTGACAAGCTTGGGTTGCAGAATTACTGAATAGTTACAATTGGAAGGGACCTCTGGAGATCATCTAAAGATTCAGGTGTCTGATGGTTCAGGATCTCAGCTGAGGGAAGGTGGACTGGTCTGGTCCACCAAGCTCATACCTCCGTCTGGCCAGGTGTGATGAAGGCACGGTGACAGCATACTCTCTCAGTTCTTTTCAGTATCTGCTGTAGTTGGCTAGGTGCATAGCAATTATCTAGATGAAAGGTAAAAAAGATTAAAGTGGTGAAGTAAAATCAGCATTAAACAAGTGGCTGAAGAGCCTCCAGTGCTTCCAAGTTACAGGACAGAGCCATGGAAAGAAGAAAAAAACAGCTAGAGACCAGCTCAGACCTATGTACCTTTATTTCAATGTTAATTTTTTCTTTACATCTCCAGATTTAAAATACGCTATCCCTGATATCAGACTCATAAAAACATGCATCCAGACTTCAACATGAAGGTGGATATAACCAAGTGAAGCTGTAGAAAAGAGTAAATGTGAAGTTCTCATTTTCATCCTCAGTAAAGTAAGCGTGCTGTCAAGAGAATCTGTAATTTTAGAACTCCAGTGTTTCCCTTGCCATTTAAGGAATCTGCCCTGAAGGTGAGAGAAGACCAAGAGACCAAGACTGACAAAGAGAAAAGTTCTCGCTGGGTTTGATTACTGCTTGTGGGGTTCTACATCTTCTGAAACCCCTCAGCTTAAAGGCAGCTTCCTGTAAGTACAGGTCTGTGCTTCTATGAATCTCCCTTGGACAGAATCTCTAGGATATATCCTACTTTTTCTTTTCTCTCTTTAATGCCTTCTGCAACCGGTAAACCATGCCCACCCTGCAGACCAAATAGTTTAGTACTGGTCTCTCTGCCTTTCTCACTGAGATTAAGATAAGGACAGTCCAGTTCTTTTGTTATTTCACTGTATCTGAGATCAAGTGCTTCCTATTAACTTAATCCACAGAGTTCTGCAGTCTTTTTCAGCAAAATGCTGATGTCACTGAAGGCGAAATCAGCAGTTGTAGGGGCACAGTTCTTTGCGAAGTTAAGCTTTAGAAAAGCAGTGGTGGAGGTGTACCTAAAATATTGCTGCTTTCCCACCTGCTGCTTCTGTCCTCCTCCTTTTCCTCCACACACCAGTTCCTATTAAAATATACGGTGCTGTTGACTTGTGTCCCTAATGATAGGCTATTTTCTTAGTTAAACTGCAGCCAAAACCAAAAGAGATCACCCTTGAAAGGGCAGTTAACACTGCACTAGGTGCAGTCAGTGCTGTGCTGGGAGCAGTGTGACGCCATTTTGCATGACAGAGGGATGAGCTGGAGGGCAGGATATTTTGCAGTGCTTCACATTTTCACTTGCAGCTCTTCCAAACACAGGGCTGGGGTGGGGCTGAAGGCTTAGCTTGCTCTCTGTGTATTCCTTGTGCCTTCTCCGACTCATAGTTCTTGTGCTTCTTTGAGTGTGTAGCTGTACTCAGAGCACTGAGTAGCAAGGCACTCAGAGCCTTGCTCTTTATAAGTATCGTCATACTTTTTCTGTTTGGTTTGCTAATACTTATTAATAGATAACATTACTTGATTTTAATATCCATGTCCCTCTTGGGATGGGGGGGGGGGTGTTGAGTGCACCAGTGAGTTAATTCACTTTGGTGACCAGACTGAAATACAAACGAAAGATACCTTGGACCAAAAGCAAAATCAGATCAGCACCCTTATGTGAATCCTTAGCCTACCATGCAACTACCCCTTGACAACCTGCGCTCAGGCCAGGGAAAACCAAGGGCCAGAAAAAAAAGAAAAACATGGATGTGACTGGTCAAGAGTGAGTTGTATTGGCAGAGCTGTATTAGGAAGATTAGCCACCATCTGTTCACCCTAATCCTGCACCTGGCTCTAGACTGTGCCACTGTTCAACCAAGTGATGATCTTACTGAAAATATTAAAGAATTGCAGGGTTAAGTAACAAGGCTCTACAGTCTCCCAAATGTTCTGCTTTCCTTTTAGTTTTGTAGTAGTCCGTGTGGAATAATTGCATGTGGTGCTATAAAACGTTCTTATCATATATGCGGATTTAATACAAAATTAAAGAGAGCACATTGGTCATGAGTTAGCAATACTGCTTTTCTTTGAGTCTTTTCATTTCTCTTCATGACTTCTTATTGATGTTTGTGTTAAGCACCACATAGTGTAACATGGTTGACAATATCTTACTCATCTTGCTTTTCTTACATAATTATTTTTGCAAAAGAAAACGCCTGGAATATATATTTCTGTGATTCATTCTTGGTAGTTATAGTTGTGGTTAAGTCCTTTTGGCTTCTCTGATTTCCGCTTAGCATAGAGCTGATTCTGTTCTTTTCCCTTCCTATGGAGTGATAGAGCAGTCTATGGCACTGACCCAGTGGTGGGTGAGATTATCCTTTATTCATAGTGAAACCTATGAAATTCCACTTGGAAAAAGGGACTTTAGTCAGGGTAGTCAAGAAGGAGTACAACAATTGTCAGTGACCACTGTCTCCCTTCAAAAGCTCTGAGCAGCGGCTGAAGGGCATGGTAAAGTGGGGAGCAGCTGTGCATCTCCAGAACGGGAGAGGTGTCCCAGACATGAAAATACAGTCTCATACTGCAAAAGCTTTGAAAGTATCAAAAATTCTAAAGTAGTCTAAACATTATAATTTCCTGAATGTTTCTTTAGTATAGGGTTCATCATTTTTTAATGGAATGGGTGTTCACAAGAAGAAAAACCCGTCACCACATCTTTAGTATTTGTACTGAAGTCTCATGTAGTACCTGAATCTCTTTTGCCTGCCTTTGTGTGCAGTAAGACAACTTTTAAGTGCTCTAATTAGAGCTGGCCTCTTGGCTTTGGTGGCTGCAGCAGTGCACAAGCAAACCGTTCAGGTGAAGTTAACTATGCTAGGAACAGGATGGAGAAAGGGAGTTACGAAATAATTTTTTTCATATGTGTTTTTCTGTATTATCCTTTGGAGATACCAACTTTTTCCACTAGCCATGTTTCTTTGGTCATATTCATATAGTGCTTTCCTGTGTTCATATCTACTAAAAATAGATAAAGCTCCATGTTGCCAGTGATGTTCAATAGGTAGACTTCAACATAGCCCTTTTCAGATAGTGTGCAGGTAATGACTGCTGGTTTCTTTTATGTTAGGTCTTAATACTCCAGCTTCTCATTTACCATGAAGGAAAAAATGTAAGTAAGTTGCTTCTCATTGCCTGGCCATGGGCTTTCTGGGCCTAGCTTCTAAGAGTTGCACGTTACTGTGTCAGTGCTGTCCTGCCAGCTGTACCTGCACTTCTTCAGGTCACGATTGATTGTTTCCCTGGAATTACAGACAGTCAAAGACTTGGGTGTTAAGCAATCACAGGGTTATGGTGGACCACCTTCCTGGCTCAGCAAACAAGCAGGTGTCATACTTTGCAAACAGATGGACAGGGGTACAGGCAGCCTAGAGAGCACGTGTGCAGCAAGGGTGGGTGTTAAGGTCAGAATTTCCCAGACAAGAATGTCTAAATTGCTGCGCCCTACTTATCCAACTGTGAGCTGGATTAATGAAAGGGAGAGTTTAGACAGAGAAGTACTTTGGGTACATTTAGTGGGAGAAGAGAGAGATGTTTTCTTTTGTATCTGTACAGGTGGTCCTTTTGAAGCAGGCCAAAATAAGCTTCCTCACCTGGGTAACGGCCTGAATAGGTTGGCAGGGTGTGAATCCATTTTCAGTGTGTGTAAAGAAAAGCGTTAACAGTTTGCCAATGTACAGCCCTTCATTTATTTTTTTCTTAACAAGTTTCTTCTTCGACCATCGACTTAGACTGAGGCCTAATAATTTTTTTTCTTCTAACTGTAGGCAGTTCTAAAGCAGCAAACTATTAATAGTGAAATATTGGTTTAGAAGAACACTAATGCACAGGGGATTCTAGGGCAAACGAGGCAATGCTGTCAATGGTTCAGATTGTTCTTAATTACAATAATGGCATTATAGGAGCTGCAGTTGCTGTCGGGCACAAAAGAAGATAATGATAATGTCAGAGTGCTCAGAGTAAATGCAGTATAATGTATTGCAGTACTGGATTCAAAAGATGATATGCCGAACTTGTCGTCAGAGTGCATGAAGAAGAAGAATGGTAAAAGGCCAGAACAGTTTTTGTTGTAACTATGTAGTTCAGGGTTTGGGTTTTTTTCCTGTGGCCTGTGCTTTCAGGCTTAAGAAGAAATGTCAGGTCCCATGTGTTTAAATGATGTGTATTAATTTTATTAGA